CGCACGAATTTCGTACAGACCTATGAAATGTCTAGAAACGACATTAAAAAAAACATTTTAAAAAACTCACCGGGATATTTTTATCATTACAATAACTTGAAAACTAAGTACCTTTTCTTATTGCTTTTACCAGCTTGTGAAGTATGTATTTGTGTTAAAGATCAAGTTAAATTTCATGCTATCGAAAGTATCACATAAGTACCAAATTACGTTAACAGAGTTAAAAAGCGTAAGACTAGTTCAATCAACTAAAATGAAAATTAAAATAAAGTCCTGTCTATACGTTGTATAACTTTCGCGGCGACTCACGCGAGCCAATATTTACGGCGTGTATTTTGGCCGTATGTTCTCACACGTCGGCTGATACACATCTGATTCATTACTGCGCCCCGCCGTTGTCTATGCCCAGTACTCCCTCATAGACATAGACGTCCCGCGGTCTGTACATCCACACACGTCGCCCACTGCTCTTATAGTGATTTAAACACGGAAATAAGACAACGTAACTAAGTACAGATAAAGAATTAAATTTAATTTCGACTTGAGTTAAAATATAACGTGAGCGTTAAAGTACGTTCAGCCAAAATACTCGTATGTAAGGATTATTTTGCGACTGTCCAAAAATTTAAGAAACGTGTCGATCCAAATATTTATGGCCTTTATAACTCGTGTTTAATAGTCTCAAACATTTGCACATTAACATTCATTTGTTTATTTATTTTCCCTAGATACCGTCACAAAAGAATAACATCAACAAAACACACAAAAGCGAAAAAGAACTGCCTAAAAAGACTATCCGAAGACGATTTCACTTTTTATGTTCGACCCAACGCCCGTAAAACTTTAGGAAGTACAAAACTTGGAAACTAATCTAAGTGCCAAGCTCGTACAACTTGGCAGACAAGTGCTGACGGGTTTTTCTTTTTCTAGTTTTCAGCCTTCAGCAAGAGGCAGCCAGTGATATGAACATAACATGCATGGAGGGCTTCGCACAGAGTATTAAAGTAACAGAGTAATTATAAAAACAGAAACGTATGTAAACTACTAAAAAAAATACCAACTAATTACTTACAAGAACATTTTGTTTATACGTAAACAACGATTGTTAAATGAAATATAACTATTATTATTGGGAAAGGCCGTGAGATTTTTATCATTAAAAAAAATGTAAACATGTTTTTTTTAAAGTTTAAAAATGACTGTCCGGCGTCATTATTCAAATTTAACTTGTCGCAAAAACAAAAAAACTCTAATTTGACATTTTTAACAATAGTCTCTAGTCTCTATAGTTGTTATACTCTGTGGCAAGTCTTCGAAGACGGCGAGGCGTCAAGGTGAGGCCGAAACATTCATTTCTCTCGCTTTCGTAGTTCCCACACCTCCGTTTTATACAAACCGAAGAAGCAGTAGAACAATGAGAACACAGCTTTATTATTTTCAAAACTACTGCTTCGTCATTGTCATTAAATCAATTAAAAATAGAAAAATATGTTTCGTTAGTTATCTGTAGTGAGCTGAATATTTATGATTATTTACACACACACACACATGCTTAAATTACTTTATTAAGGTGAACATTTCATAAGACGATACAATTTTTTTCCTACCACTAAATTAAAAAGAGTATCTATTTATTTTTTAACACTGGCCGTATACAAAAATGGAAAGAAAACAAAAACAAAATATTCAAATTACGAACGTGTCATTACAACAAGTGACCACTTCTGCATAATGCGACAAAATAATTCCATTCCACGTCCAATTACACCCGACCTGTGGTACGAAAGTTACAAAATCCCAACCCAAATAAACATATACCGAGGAAAAATCGGCTTTCAAATGCGTTATTACGAAAACTGGGTGGGAAACATGTTCCGACTTTTATTAAGTGAGGTCAGGTTAGGGTTACTATCATTTTAAAAAAAAAAGCCGGACAATACTTAAAGCAATGAAAATACATTTTTAGTGGGATAACTGACTCTTAAATAATTAAGAACATTATCGAATTCTCATTACCAACTGAAGATTAGAAAACTGATTTTCAAATTATTACAAACAAAACTTCAGCTAATTCTGTGTGTTTTATTGAAAACTATGCCAATTTATTTTTATTATAGTAACTACACTTTTAGAGATACCCAATTCAAATGTTATGCAGCGATAAGTATATTATTATATTTATGTACGAAAAGACTCTATAATTTATATTACTTTATGGTTACTGTACTCCAGATGTTATCGCACGTGGTCACATACTAATGGTAAACACGTAAAGGTAATTCCTTTTGATGTATGGAGCACGCACCGAGGGGACCTCCACTCGCCAGCAAAGATTGCGACCCTCAACTTTCTTCTACCTTTTTAAATTTATCCAACAAATATAATTTAACTAGACTTAAATGCGTTAAATCAATGGAATATGTTACTCTTCTTTGTATGCAAACAAACACATAATTTAAAGAAAATCTTACAAAATTGAAAACACAAACTTACATGCACAATTTTCGTAACATATCAGAAATAAAGTTGTACGTCACAATCGTACAGAGCTACCAACATTAAGACACTACGAGAGATCGCTTAAAAATGATAAATTAACAAATTAATCATAAAAGGCGGTAGTGTAATAAAACATAATATACGGCCAGTCCTAACTCGGAATAATGTCGGCAATTTATTTACATTTCTCGCTGCGTTTCGAGTGATTAAATCGAAATAAATCCATGTGTAGTTAATGTGGTTAATAGCGGGATCGCGTGGCAACAGAGCCGCAGTTTTGCCACCTAACTGCTATTACACGTGCCACTTGTAACCAAAGAGGTTTGCTTGCACGTTCGGTTTTCGAACGTGATGGGAGTTTAAAAAAACAACTGTCAAATTTTATCCTAACTGGAGTTTTTAGGTACAGTGATTTATTTAGTTTCAGATTGTTTTAACTGTTATTTCAGTTTAAATTAATATTTTAATTCAAAAACCGATCTGCAAAAACAAACTGTACTTAGGATCTATTTTGGTAATAAAACGTGATCCTGAGACATTGAGACGCACTAGAAACATATTTCAGAATTTCCTAAAACAAAAATTCTACTGGAGAAAAAAAAAATGCGTAATAGCCGACTACAGTCGATAGTAAAGACTGCACAGTTTGATAGACTTCAGTTAGAACTCTAGACAAATGATTTACTGTACAGTTCTACTGACAGTTAATTTTGCCTACTTAGATCTGTACGTGCTTAAAACATATAACCAAAACTTACTTTTGTATTGTATAGTGCAATAACTTGTTTGTCAAACATCATTTTTTAATTACTTAATCCTTACTGAATTTGAACTATAACAAATTACTTATAATCCCTTATAATCCAGTATTACCATATTTAAATAATAATTATTTATTACCGATATGTTAAAAAGCACATCTCTCAGAAAAAGGGATTAAAACAAATTCCAGCTTAATTACATCTCTTGTTTTAATGGTTTCAATTTGAATATACATAGTTCAATAGCTTTACGAACATAATGGCTTTCGCCTGCGATTCCGCGTGGAATTAAAAAAAAAAACAAAAGTAAGTAGCCTATGTGTTCTTCCAGACTATCCTCTACATCTATGTTAAATTTCATCGAGATTCGTTCAGCATTTTAAGCTACAAACTCTAACCATCATCCATCTAAGTTTTTGCATTTATAATATTTGTAAGATTGCACAATAATTACGTCAAATATTATGAATTCCATTGAATATAAAGAACTCTTACTTTCTTTTTTTCTTACTAATATAAATGGGTAAATTTAGATGTATGAATGTTTGTTAGAGTTTATAGTATAAACTTCTGAACGGGACTCGTTAAATTGGTCATATGAGGGGATAGTCTAGAAGACAGGAGCTACTTGCTTTTGTTTTTTTTTTTAATTACACGTAGACGGAGTCGCGGACGAAAGCTGGTATGTTGTAATATTGTCAAATATTATAACATTATTATATATTCGCATGCTTTTAATAGCATTATTTTAAGGCTTACATAATATTACTTCGAACAACGTATTTGTCTTCATTTTTCAGTTATCTTTTCCTTATTAAATAATGTTTTCCCTATACCACGTGCTATCAAAGTTGAAAAAACTTCGGTGTCGCCAATCTCAAACATTCCTATATTTTTATACCGACTACTCCACTTTGTTAGAATAGGACATTGATAAGAATGGAAAAATAAAACTTGTTTACAAAACTGTTATATTCATCAAATAAATTTTAAGATTGTGTTTCGATACCTAAGTAAACATGATTAAGGAAAACTTCAGTTACTTAAGTTTTCCTTAATAAAAAGTAAAAACCACGTCATATACCGTACGTAAAACTATTGATATTTCTACGTATAACAAATAAAATACTTAAAACGAAAGTAAGTTTTCAGATTACGTCGCGAGTTCCGCAAACCCTTTTAATAACTTCTTCCCGGAATCTTTTATTGGCGCGTTCTTTTGTTATTCAATGAAGTGGACCGTCTTCCCGTTATTAAACATTACCTGCCCTTCAGCCGGAGTTGGTGTAAAGGCTCACGGTGGGTTATGAATCATAACATCACATATACATGTCATGTTAATTATTGCTGTGATGGATTTCATAGTTAATTTCTCTAAGAATAAATTACTAGTTTACTTTTTTAGTATTAATTTTGTTTTGCACACGTGACATGTCCCAAGCGATATATGTTGGATATTCAACTATCTTTTTATGTACCCTCAAAACTGTAGGTATGTAAAAGTGTGTGTAGTGAAGTAGGCGTCACATGTGAGTAGGTAGCGTCGTCGTCTTCGTCGTCATATGACACGTGTGTCGCGCGCGGGCTGGCGAGCGGCGGCGTGGCGCGCGGCGAGCACGGTGCGCGGCGGCGGGCGCGGCGCTGTGTGCGTGCGGGGCGGCGCCGGGGGCGGGCCGGCCCCGGACACTGCCCGCCGCCGCGGCGCACGCAGCGCGCTCGCGACACTCCGCCGTACGCCGCACGCCGCACCGCGCGCCGGCTCACTCCGCGTTCACTCCGCGCTCGCGAGCCGCACGCGACACACGTCCGCGACATCCGCCTCACGACCGACGCGCTCCCACACACAGTGCCGTGCAGTGCTAAACAAACTTTTACGTGCAATGCCGATCCTCGCCGGACGGAAGGAGAACTGATCGAAAGGGTCGACCGCAGGGTGGACACGGGCCGTGCTAGCCCGCGCAAGCGCCCCCAGCGTGAGACAAGCCACAAGGAGCGCCTCTCGTCTGCGACATGGACGACAAGCCGCCTACCACCGAGGAGCACTACAGCCTTCGCTGGAACAACCACCAGGCTCACCTTCTGCGGTCCTTCGAGGCGCTGCTGCATGCGGAGACGCTGGTCGATGTGACGCTCGTGTGTTCAGAACGGCGGGTGCGCGCCCACAAGGTGTTGCTCGGCGCCTGCAGCCCGCTCTTCAGGAGAATCTTCAGCGAGAACCCGTGCAAGCATCCCGTCATCGTGCTCAAAGACTTTCAAGGATGGGAGGTTCAGGCTGTGGTGGACTTTATGTACCGCGGCGAAGTGTCGGTGGCACAGGAACAGCTGGGCACGGTGATTCGCGCCGGCGAGTCGCTACAGGTCCGCGGGCTGGCAGACCAGGAGCGCGAACGCACGAGGTCACCGGTCGGCAGCCCGGCGCGAAGCCCGGCGCGCGCCACGCCAGCACCATCTCCGCCTGTCAGCCCCGCCAGCCCGCAGCCACGCCGCAAGCAAGCGCGCCCGCGCCGACGATCAGGCGAGTCTGACACGCCGGAAAACCTGTCGATGCGGCGCTCGCCAAGTGGGCTGAAGGCGGTGCGACTGGCACGGCCGCGGTCGCCACCCGCGCACAAGCAGGAGCCCGAGGAGCCAGAACCGGAGGCACCACCACCGCCGCGCATGTTCCCGCCGCACCAGGACCTGTTCCCGCCCGTGCCGCCGGCCGCCGTCTCCGCGCTTTCCCTCACGCCACCTCACAGTAAGTCCATGTCATGTGCCTTAAATCCGTCCTTACATCTTAAAGTATTCTTTTGCATGTCGATATTATTTTTTTTAACTTACGAATTCAACACATATGAAGTTCGTTCGTGAATTTTGCATTACCTTCATTTCGACTGTAAAATTAATAACATAATAAACGTATCGCAATACTTTAAGCAACACAGGTCAGATTTTAATAAACAGCCATATCGAATCATTTGTAATATAAAAAATATATTATAATAATGTCAATTGCGACTGGCCACTTATAAATCGACGTCGATCCGTGCAATATACGGACCACCTATTCACCCGCGAGATAGAAAAAAACGTAAGGTCGCCAGTAACAATGCCGTTGTGGATGGATAATTACTTCGTAAATAATAATCACCAGCAAAAACTGACCTCGTTCACTCATTGTCGCTGCATGACCGATGCAAAGCTATTTATATTCAATGCTGTTGCCAGTTTGCGCGTGTTGCATTTAACGCCACTACAACATTTTATTCATCTTATTAACATCATCGTATATCTTGAGCCTTGACTTATAGCTGTCAAGCATTGTATTAATCTAAACAGTTGTATAAGCAATCATTCGAAGATTTTTTATCTGTGCTTAATGTTCTATTATCTGTTGTCTTTGATGTGATTTGCTACCCCAATACTTCTAATCGCTTCTATTATTTTCACTTAATTAAGCAACCATTATAAGAATTACTGAGTTTAGAGAAGTGGATTACTTAATTCTTAGATTTTAATAGAAAAAACTCGTTGAAAAAATGAATACTTTAATTGCCCTTTTTTGTTGTTCGCATTATGAAGTCACTTTCCATTTATTTACCTTACCTTTTTTTAAACAATTTAAATCTACAATATTTAATTTTTTTTTTGTTTCATTATTTTTGTTATCTTCGTTATTGCCTGCATGAGTAAAGCATGTTTTGTATAATAAAAAATTAAAACAGATTCTATTTCATCTAATAACTAGCTGTTCCCGCGCGGCTTCATCCGCATGAAATTATGAAAATTTTATTTTATTGTTGACATTTGCCAAATTATCAATAGCAATGTTAGAATGACATGACATGACAAACCTTGGTAATCTTGGTTCCTTGATGTTGGCAGCAACTTATGGTCTCTTTCCCACATTAGGGTTTTTATCCAAAATATTTACCCCCTAAGTTTAATGGCGTGAAAATATATAGCCTAATGCAAGTGCAGAGCTTTTTATTATTTTTTTTTTTCAAAAATATGCTGTAATTGCTGACATCTCTGGCAACAAAGAAGTGTGTGTTTACGCTTTATTATAATAGTATAGATTAAGCATCTATCTGCACAAAGCGGAATGCAACTTTCTCGTAAGAATTAAGATCACCTATTCATATGTCGAACAGTTTATAGGCAAAGGACTTCAGCACGGCCCATTACCTACTAAGTGGCGACATATTTAATCTGTGACACATTTAGTTCGTTCTACAGATTAAAATACGGTGCCAAAGATTACATATAATTAGCACTTTCTTGTTAAATTAAGATTAAGTCTAGGTTTTGTTTTAATAATTTTATATATTAGGTAATTTTTCTAGAGTAGTTCGTTTTTTATTTTTTATAAAGAAAAGTTATTAATTTTTTTTTAATCTTAATCTTTAATTTACGAACTTATTAAAACAAATTCTTTTAAAAACAACGGAATTATTCGATGATTGTTTGATGTTTACAGCCAGTATTTTGTATGGAGTTATGAAACTAAACTGTAATTAGTAATTGTAAGAAATATTTTTTAAGGAACATATTGAGTATTGTGTAAACAATATTTTGTTGTATATTCTAGCGTTGGTGTGTACGTAATTTGTTTTTCTACCTCGAGCGCAGTCCGCCGTCGAAATTAGTGCAAGGAGTGGTTTTGTACGTCAATTTTATTTTATTGTTTCCTCAGTTTTGCGTATGTGCCGAGAGCTTGATTGCGCAGTAATAGGCGTAGATTGCTCAGGGTTGGCAAACGTTTGCCACATGTTTTGACTTTATAATTGTTAAATCCCCGTTGAAATTTATTCTTTTTTTAAATAAATTGATCATCCTCGACCAATCAGAACCGAACACGTTACTAATCTCCTAAACATTTGACGTTTAGCTTTATTATGTGTTAAGAAATAACTAAATAATTTGCTTGGTTTACTAAATATTTCTCAATGATTAAAACCAATATGCAGCAATGATTTAAGCTATCTACCTAAAAAAAGTCTACCAAAATCATTATGTTATGAAAAGTACGTTTTAAGATATTAATTTTTAGGAAGTGGCAACCCTGATAGTAATGAAGGGTTGTACGCACTCACCTCGCGACGTGCGTGGGGAAACTAAAATACAAGGGGGAGTTTTGAACGTTTCCGCACTTGTCAGTTCATTTCGTATTCCAAATCTAAATTGCCCTAACTCTTACTAAGCGACTATCGTTTTTTAAGTTTTACACGATCATAAATGATTTAATAACACACGGATAATAAATTTCACTTCTACGTATTGCGTAAATTCATCCTTCGATTATCGACTTCGAGTCGGTACACTAACAGAATATGGTTGTAAGAGACACAATGACTCAAAGAAGTGTCATAGAAAATAATACTCCACAAATAACGTCTCGTCCCTGCGCTTACTGTAATAAAATAATGAAAATTTAATTACTTTCAATAATTCGTATAATTTAAAACAATTATTGTTGACAGGTTCTTATTTTCTAAAAGTTAATCTTCCAAACCGTCATAAAGTACTGAGATGGCGCTGGCGTGTCCATGGATTATTTCAGTAAATGAACTTTATTGTTTCCTTCGTGTGTGATGGGACCTTGATTATATTTAATGACGGTACGTAAATGTAATAAGGGGTTAGCAGGGCCTGCAATCACACTACCGACTTCCCGAATAGAACTTACGGAATTGTTAAGTAATGCGGGCAAATAGAGCACTTAACATTATTGTCATTATGTCGTAAATATCGCTAGCGATTGCCGTACGCTTAAAGTTTTATATTTTAAAACAATTGAACTTGGTATATCGCGTAATGATTTTAAATCCTAGGTTGGTGTGTGGTCTATGGGAAATTAGACACCATAGGGTTGTCCCCTACCACAATTATTGAAAACAGTTTTGTAGCATCCCTAATTATGATGAAAAAAATATATACAGGCGAATTGAGTACCTCCTTTTGGGAAGTCGGTCAACAACTAGAGATTAACGGACATTTTAATTCCAGAAAATGTAATTTAGTAAAAATAACATGTTAGAAATAAAAATTATGCATTTGGGATTAAATTAAACAACGCTTTTTTGAACATATTGCAAAAATCGAATACTAATTTGCTATTTTACTATTTCTAGTAATGTTAGGAAAATATGAAATAAAAATAAACCAATAGAACAATCAGGTAAAGAAAAACACTAAACCGAGTTTTCAGTTCATGGTTGAATGACTTCTCCCCCTACCCTATAAAACAAAACGTACCAAAGTACCAAAACACATGAGAGTATCCTAATTGTGTAGATTTTGGTTGCACATACAAACCATTGCAACAAACGTAACTAATTACTGTAATCAATTATAAATCCCAGACGTTCTTGATTTATAATTCTATTTTAAGGTTAGTTTAAAAACTTTACTCTCGTCGGGGAATTATGTCGAAGTTACATAATACGGTGATTCGGTTGTACGGAAATACCTCGTCAACATTTTTGCGACTAATGACGTCACAAGGATAATATATTTTGATTTAAATCTCCTTATGTGATGAACGCATACAACCAAATAGGTGGAACGTGAGTCCGCTGCCTAAATTTGTGGAAAATCAATTCTTTGCCATCTCTCTCATAGATAGGTATTCTAAATAAAAATAAATAGCTATTTTACTCGCTAACGGTCGTCTATTTATCAAAATTCAACCATAACTAAGTTTTTTAATAGAATAAATAGTTTTATAAACTTATTTTCTAATTCCTTTAAAGTTTTGAATTAGTATATTTGTTTATAACATTGATTTATTTTTCGATATCGAAAAAAAAATATATAAACGCAATAGTATTTGGTCGTTACCAAATATTTCCTAACCGTTTTCTATGTGATGAATTGGCCGGGACCAACCTATTGTTGATTTCTTGCTCCAACACAATTGTAGATTTTTAGTAAACAAACGAGAATCGATAAGTTTTTTTATAGTAACAATTGTTAACTCCGATATCGAATATTAGTTTGTCATAACATTGTGTAATGTTGAAATCATATTATTTACGTTTTGGTCTATAATTCTTTTTACAACTCTTTACTGATATAAATTTGAATGTTTAGAAGGATGGATGGATATAACCCTAGAACGGCTTAACGGATCTCGCCGTAAAGGACAGACGTATAACGGTCTGAAACACATAGACTAATATTGAAGTGTTTTATCTATGCGGACTCGCGGCACCACCTTGGTGTTCACGCCGCTCGTTTGCCCCCTTTTTTTATAAAAAAAAAAACATATAATAAAATTGGAGTGTTTGTTTATAATATCAAAAGAAATATTACAGATTTCGGGAAGATGATGTATTCGCGTTGCTGATAACGCAAATAGCATTAAAAAAAATGTCTGTCTGCCAGTCCCCAAGCCGCGTTTAACCGGGTAATGTATGAAACGGCTAGGGCGATTTAGACAGAACTTTCACTGGAGGATAGCTGACATGGATAGGCATATTATAGCCTACTTTTATTTAGTTCTGCGCTGTCAAAATGGCGTTAAAAATCGTTTATTCCTAAATCTTCGTAATTTCAAAGTACACAGGAAATGTAGCAACAGTGTGTTTACTAAAAAAAGTTATTAATTCGTAATTTCTAACGCTGTCAATAAGCAAAATATTTCTTTACAATTAAAAACAACAAAGAAATATCAATAGCGATATTCTCTTGTAAATTCTGAGTAGACATGGTGACATGGATTCACAAGACACGCGAGGCGACCATCGCCGCCCG